AGTGAAGTAGGAGACATCTTGCGTCCAGCAGACTACTTATTAAGACATATGCGTATATATGTCTTTATACATGTCTGGAGGGTGTCTTTGAATCACACTAATGTGTTGTTGTTTAGACTGTATTGACTTTTTTTTAGACCATTTTTGATTGATGGCTTTCTCGCAATAGTTTGCATATTTGTATACAAGCAAAAAAACTTTGCAAACCACCATGTGCACACAAGTCTCTATTCTGATCCCTTTCTTATTCTTTTGTAGACAAGTGATGCAGAGTGTCCTCATAAAAAATTTATACTCAAAGCCCTTTATATTTCTTTTGAAAAAGTTCAAAGGAGTAAAAATTAGCATATGCCAAAGTCAGGATGGTGCAATGCACCTGACACACCACCTCTGTTACACAGTGCAATGTTTTAACTGTACAGTAACTCTAGCATTTCAGTGAAATAAATAAATAATACAAGGAGGACAAGGGGACAGGAAATAAGGCGAGGGGATTAGAGAAAGACATAGTGATGTAAACAAGTAGCTTCTTATTCAAAAAGCTTAGGGGGAATTTTGTCTGTTGTTATTTATGTTGCAATACTTCCTCTGTGACTAATATCACAGGAAATACTGAGCGTTCCAGGCTTGTACTTTGGCTCGTCTAATTGTACTGACCTCGTCCATTTCCTCCTCCCTTTGGCGGTTGGGTTTAGTGTAATCCAGAGGTCCCTCCCACTCCTCCTGTTTGTAGGTGTGTAGGTTCGGTGACGTCATCCCGCTGCTTCCACCATGATGGAGCGAGGAAGAGGAGGAGGAAGAAGGGTCTGGGGAACGAACCCCTGGGCTGGTGCCGGACAGACTGTCCTCACGTTTAATGGGCTTCTTCATACTCAGGTCCAGGGTGCCGTTCTCATCCACCTCAATGTCCATTTCCTGGAGAGAACACATAAGATAGTCAGGACTGAGGCCATATCACATCATCATCAGCTTTTGGAGGATCACCAACTAAAAAAACCTTTTTGAACTCTACAGTTATGGAGTCCAAAAGTGTTCAATATTAAATAAATAAAAAATCACATGAATACATAAATGGAAATATATAAATGAACTTTTTTTTTTTTAAGTTATTTTTTTGGCCTTTTCATGCCTTTATTTGATAGAGACAGCTGAAGATTGACA